ACACGTCTTAGGGTCATTCCTGGAAATAGCAAGAACATGTGTGATATGAGCCTTACTGACAAATTCATGAGTCCAAGTTCAAAATTTGACAGCAGAGACCGTAAAGAACAATAACCGCCAATAATCAATCACCAACCACCTTCCATTTACACTAGGCCAGCAGTTCTTAAAGTTCTGTGGTACATGGACCATATTAAAGAAAGTCACAGATATGGTGGACCACCTAACTTCTAACCATAACCTGACCCTAAGACATAATCCTACCCTTATCAGAACCCTAACCCTTTCCTTAACCACTTCAAGTCCGGACACTTTCACCCCCTTCCACTCCAGGCCAATTTTCAGCTTTCAGTGCTATCTCACTTTGAATGACAATTGCGCGGTCATGCAACATTGTACCCATATGAATTTTTAGCATTTTTTTGAGACAGATAAAACTTTATTTTGGTGGTATTTATTCACCACTGGAATTTGTATTTTTTTTGCTATATAAATGAAAAAGTCCCCACATTTTGAAAAAAAAAAAAATCTTTGTTCATAAATCTTGTCCAAAATGTATTCATCTATCTTTTTAATAAAAAAAATATATAACCCAAATTAGTTTATAACCAAAAATTATAGTTTTTCAAAAATGTTGTTACATTTTTATTTAATTTTTTTTATATTATTATTTATGTTTTTTCTTTTTATAACATACTGTCATCCTAGCAGTACAGTGTCACCATAGTGACACTGTACTACTTGTGGGGCGTGATGAAGATTTTTTTTTTTTTTTTTTTTTTTTACACATTGCTTTTACACCCATAAAGCTGTAAAGCAATAATTTCTCCTCTCTGGTTGCATTCCTGCAGCCATTGAGACATACTGTGCGAGCTGTGATTGGTCACAGCTTGTCACATGGTACAAGACTGTTGTGAATAGCCTTGTACCATGTGACCTCAGTGATCATTCACAGATGTCACTAGTAGTAAGCAATGATGTCAGGAAGTGACATCTTGCGTACTACTATTCATGTGATCACTTATTGGCCAATAAGTGATCACATGATCGGGACCTCACATACAGTGTTCCGCTGTCTCCAGAGGACACCGGATTGCGGTGCCGCGTGCTCCCAGGGAGTATGCACAGGCAGAGAATGCGGGGGCCGTTTATAAACAGCCACCTTCAGCACTGCTCCCGTCCTGCCGTTTATGTACATGGGCGGGACGAGAGGTGGTTAAACCTAACTTAGAGTTTGAACTCCAGGTCTGGTTTTTATTGCATAGTTCATTGGTCCAGGTTGGATCATTGTAAGTACACATATCCTATACATGTGGGGATACAGTGTTACAGTGTTACTACAGAGAACACTGCAGTCTTCTGGGTCCTGTGCCAAGCAGCTACCCATCTGCACAGTGAATACAGAGGTTCACCCACTCAGAAGAGCTGCCTTGTATTTTTTTCATTGAAAACAAGGCATTCTCTGATTGGATGAGGTGGTGATTGTGACAAACACTTTTCCTCTCTACCTTGTCCAATCAGAAAACAGCTTGTATTCACTGAAAAAATACAAGTAGTTCTGTGAATGACATAATGCTGTTTATGTGTACTTTATTTAGTCACTGTTTATAGGTTTTTTTTGTTATTTAAAATGGCAGCAGCTTAGTTTAAACATTTAATTACTGGTTTAATAATTTTTATTTTAATTTTGTATACCAATATTTTCACCATTTCTTGAGCGTGTGGATATAGGCTGGTTTCATCCTACATATTTTTAATTAGTTCTGTGAATGGTGGCTGTGCTAAGTGAGCAATCCCTGTGTTCACTGTTCAGAAGGACAATGCACATATTTTCAAGCACATCATGGATCATCAATTGTTGGCCAAAGCTTTTACTGAAGAAAGATTACATCACAAAGGACCAAGTGCAACAATTCGGAACCGCGCAGGACCCCTTCGTCATCATGTGATCAAAGCAGAAGTGCAGCACAGGATCTGGAAGACTGCTGAGCCAACTAGAGAGTCTCATTGGTCAGCGTAGTCACATGGCCGTGCTGACAAATGACAGTTTCCCATTGTGTGCATTGTGACTTATGCCGGCCATGGACGGTTCGAAAATCATCTGATTCTTTGGCCGAAAGATTAATTGGTCGATTTCTCACACTGTTAGTGGGTTCATTCGTCTGCTGGTTTTTGCGTTCTTTCCACTTTTGGATTATCGGTCATGTCAGAAAATTTTAGGAAAACGACCAATTTTTTGCGTCAATGATGGCCAAATCGTACGATTGTTTTTACGGAAAAAAATATGTGCATGAGCCGTGACCTGGAAGGAACAGAAGTTTTACCTGTTATATGGAGTGAACTTTATGACTTGGTCGGCCGATTTTTGTAATCGTTGATGGTTAATGTTTAATGAAAGACTGATTTTTTGTTTAATCGGCCGAAAAAACACACGGTTTTCGAGCTGTCTATGGCCTGCATTACTGTGCATCGAACTGAGATTTCAAACTATTTTATCAGCTTTCCCAGCTATCTTCTGTGAACTACAAAACCTCTCTTACCTACGTAATAGAGATGAGGAGAGAGGGAAGTGTTTGTAGTCCAAATCATAAGTGCAGCCTATACCTTGTTCCAAATTATTATGCAAATTCTATTTAAGTGTCACAAAGATGAAATATTTTGTTTTTCAGTTTAGCTCATGGATGGCATTGTGTGTCAGGGCTCTTTTGATCACTGAAAACAATCTGGGACACCTGTGATAATTAGATTGGCCGGAGAGCTCAATTTAAGGAAAAACTACTAAAGGAGGGTGTTCCACATTATTAAGCAGAGCCCATTTTCAAGCAATATGGGGAAGAAAAAAACGATCTCTCTGCTGCCAAAAAGAGTGAAATAGTTCAATGCCTTGGACGAGGTATGAAAACATTAGATATTTCACGAAAACTTAAGCGTGATCATCGCACTATTAAGAGATTTGTGGCTGATTCAGAGCACAGACGGGTTTGTGCAGATAAAGGCACATTGAGGAAGATTTCTGCCAGATCCATGCATCGGATCAAGAGAGCAGCTGCTAAAATAGCATTACATAGCAGCAAACAGATATTTGAAGCTGCTGGTGCCTCTGGAGTCCTCTGGAAGGTGTAGAGTCCTCCAGAGTCTTGCAACTGTGCATAAACCTTCTATTCGGCCACCAATAACCAATGCTCACAAGCAGAAACGGCTGCATTGGGCAGAAAAATACATGGACTAATTTTCAAACAGTCCTGTTCACTGATGAGTGCCATGCAACCCTGGATGCTCCAGATGGATGGAGTAGCGGATGGTTGGTGGACGGCCGCCCTGTTCCAACAAGGCTGCGATGTCAGCAAGGCGGTGGTGGAATCATGTTTTGGGCTGGAATCATGGGAACAGAGCTGGTCGGCCCCTTTAGGGTCCCCGAAGGTGTAAAGATGACCTCTGCAAAGTATGTGGAGTTTACGACTGACCACTTTCTTCCCTGGTACAGAAGGAAGAACTATGCTTTCCGTAATAAAATCATCTTCATACATGACAATGCACCATCTCATGCTGCAAAGAATACCTCTGCATCAATGGCTGCATGGGGATAAAAGGAGAGAAAGTCATGGTGTGGCCTCCATCCTCCCCTGACCTCAATCCTATTGAGAACCTTGGAGCATCCTCAAGCAAAAGATCTATGAGGGTGGGAGGAAGTTTACATCCCAACAGCAGCTCCGGGAGGCTATTCTGACATCTGGCAAACAAATTCAAACAGAAACTGTCCAAAAACTCACAAGTTCAATGGATGCCAGACTTGTGAAGCTGCTATCAAATAAGGGGTCCTATGTTACAATGTAACGTGACCTGTTAAAATGTTTAAAAAGTTAAAATGTTTTTAAAAGTTTGATTGAAATAGCTTTTGATTTCAGTAAATATGCTGCAAACACAACAAATGACAATTTTCAGTTCTTTACAACCTATAAAGTGTTTTGAAACTTACTGTGCGTAATAATTTGGAACAGTTTTTTATGTTTAAAAAAAATCCTGTTATCATTAGGAGGTTTGTTCAATAAAATGTGAATTGTACTCTTAGTAGTTGATAACATGAGAATTATGCTGACTGTTATTTACATCATTTATTTAGGTAAATGAGAAAAATATAATTTGCATAATAATTTGGAACAGGGTGTAGAATGACAACACTGATCCTCCATAAATAATTACAGTCAGTAAGCATTGTCACCCTAGGACAGGAAACGTGTTGCTGGCAAAAGCCTTAAAGTGGTGTTAAACCCAAAAACAAACATTTATTATATTGCAGGCTTACCAATTCTTAGATGTAGTTGCTGCATTCATTTTTCTTTAGGTTTTCTTTCGACCTAGTGGTTTGCACACCTGGAGACCAATTCATAAAATGAGTTTGGAGGTGTGGTTTACAGCTACTTTGACTGATAAAAAACACTCAAACATTTTAAGATTGCTGTTCATAAGAAGCATCAGGCGATGTGAACTGTGTCTTGCAAAAACAAGCCCTCTGCAGACATACAATCAAGAATAGTTGATTTGTATAAGGCTGGAAGGGGATGCAAAGTACCGTATTTTGCACTCCATAAGACGCACCTAGGTTTTAGAGGCGGAAAACAAGAAAAAAAATATTCTGAACCAATGGACTGCAGTACAGGAGATGACCAGAGACTGCAGATATAGTACAGGAGATGACCAGAGACTGCGGACACAATACAGGAGATGACCAGAGACTGCGGACAGTACAGGAGATGACCAGAGACTGTGCGGACAGTACAGGAGATGACCAGAGACTGTGGACATAGTACAGGAGATGACCAGAGACTGTGGACATAGTACAGGAGATGACTAGAGACAACGGACAGTACAGGAGATGACCAGAGACTGCGGACATAATACAGGAGATGACTAGAGACTGCGGACACAGTACAGGAGATGACCAGAGACTACGGACATAATACAGGAGATGACCAGAGACTGCGGATACAGTACAGGAGATGACCAGGGACTGCGGACAGTACAGGAGATGACCAGAGACTGCGCACATAGTACAGGAGATGACCACAGACTGCGAACATAGTACTGGAGTTGACCAGAGACTGCAGACAGTACAGGGAACCAAGAGACTGCGGACAGCGCAGGGGATGACCAGAGACTGCAGACAGTACAGGGGATGACCAAGAGACTGCGGACAGTGGGGATGACCAGAGGACAGTACAGTGGATGACCAGAGACTGCAGACAGTACAGTGGATGACCAGAGACTGCGGACACGGTGCAGGAAATGACCAGAGTGCGGACAGGAAGGGGATGACCAGAGACTGCGGACAGTACAGGGGATGACCAGAGACTGCAGACAGTACAGGGGATGACCAGAGACTGCAGACAGTGCAGAGGATGACCCAGAGACTGCAGACAGTGCAGGGGATGACCAAGAGACTGCAGACAGTACAGGAGATGACCAAGAGACTGTGGACCTTTGGGGAGGGAGGGGAGTGGGTACCTGAATTTGACAGGTACCCGCTCCCACTTCCGTAGAGTTTTCCTCCCTTTAGTGTGGGCACCTGGGTGACAGCCGGGTGCCCAGTGTGCATGCGTGAGAAGCGCTGCGCTTTGTGATTGGTCCGGCATCTTCTGGGACCTGTCATGTGCCCCAGAAGACGCCATGCTATTCACAAAGCGCAGCACTTCTCGCGCATGCGCACTGGGCACCCGGCTGTCACAGCCGCGAACGTGCGTAAAAACGAAAAACCCGTAAGTGTACAAAAAAAGTGCCAGTGCAAAACCAACACAAAAAAGTGCACTTAGGGGTGTGCTTTGTCCGCCCCCCGAAGGGGTTGGATCTCTACCCTGATCCCCCGGGGCACAAAGCTCCTGACAGGGATAAGGTTCCTGTGTGGTCCTCCTAGCCAAAAGGCTTGGCGGACCCCGTTCCTTGTGGCCAGCCGAAGCCAGCCACCAAGTACTTGGTAAGGGGGTTCTCCCGAAGAGAAAACCCCCTAGGGACGGGAGGAAGGAACCAAAGGGCCACACATCCTCCCCCTAGACTTCAGGGTAGGCCCGAGGACCCACACCCTACCGTCTGTGAGAAAAAAACACACACATATGTGAAAAAGTGACAAACAGTAGGAGGTAAAATAAATTAAATAAATAAATAAAGCGAAAATAAAAAAAGTGGCCGTGCAATTGCGCACTGGCTAGGCCCTGAGGCCCGTAGCAAAAAAAATTGCCCTGGACTTAGCCAAAAGGCCTAGCCCTAAAAGCTGCAGTGCAGAAAAAGTGTTTGAAACAGTGACCATGTGCACGTTTCAACACGTTGGGGTCCCACACCCAAGTGTTACTAGGAGCACCCCTGAGGCGACCAGTCTCAGGGGGCACTGGTTCGCGGACTTTCTGCCTCCCCGGCCCCTGGCCAGACAAGGTAGATCCATTCAAACCAGGAGGAACTGGGCCCCTCCAGTTTTCCAGGGGGAATTACTCCCGGGCCCCAGCAGTCTGTGGGCGCCTCGGTTTCTTTTCCAGCCTGTACTAACCATCAGGACCCCCATCCTTCCAGCAGGAGTACTATACAACCAATCATCCCGCAAGCAGGAATGATGGTGGAGCACCCCTACTGCACACTGATAAGAACAGATACTACACTTGACCTTAGCCAAAAGGCCGAGAAGTTTGTGACATGTGCACCGGCTATCAGTAACTTGCCACTTCCTACTGAGTTTAGTACCGCCATGCCAGCATCTCTTTTTATACCTGTACAATGAAAATTCACGGTTTGACTTGAATGCCACTCTTATATAGCAAAACAACAACAAAAAAAAGGTTGCCTCCCAATCCTGAGTTGCCTTTGTGTCTAGACAGATTGGGGAGGATAACAAGGCCCTTGACGCAGTTGTACATTGTTTTTCTAGCATGTGTTGAAATAAACGGGTGTTGTTACTATATATAGGGGGATCTTTATTATAATGGCATGCTTTAGCTAGCCTGAGGTAAAACAATTGTGAGCTCAGAGAGAGAGAGCAGCCATTGTGCTAAGACCACTATATTCAATTATTTTTTTTAGACCTATGTGGACAAGTAAACAGATTCCTGGGGTTTGGTATCACAGCAACCAATGTCAAAAACATCGACTTTATTCAGTCTGCTGTGATTTTAATGAAATTGCCTATAGTTGTTTATTTTAGAGTGAGAACACACAGACAATGTAGATGTGATAAAAATCTGCAGAGCAATGCATGGAGATCACACATAAAGAATGCACCAATGGGGCAACTGTGTGAATTCATCCCTAGAATAATGATTTCTGATCCTGCAATAAAGTGAGATCTAATATAGCTTCTATGATGGGTGACAAGAGATATATATATATATACAGTGAAGGAAATAAGTATTTGATCCTCTGCTGATTTTGAATGTTTGCCCACTCACAAAGAAATGATCAGTCTTAAAATCGAATGGTAGGTGTATTGTAACACTGAGAGACAGAATAGCAACAAAAATTAAGAAATGGATGTCTAATAAATGATGCACTGATTTGCATATTCATGAGGGAATAGGTATTTGATCACCTATCATTCAGCAGGATTTCTGGCTACCAGGTGTCTTTCATACAGGTAACAAGCTGAGATAAGAAGCAGTCTCTTAAAGGGAGTGCTGCTAATCTCATTTTGTTACCTGTATAAAAGACACCTGTCCACAGGAGCAATCAAACAAACAGATTCCAAACTCTTCACCATGGCAAAGATCAAAGAGCTGTCCAAGGATGTCAGGCACAAGATTGTAGACCACAAGGCTGGACTGGGCTACCAAACTATCACCAAGCAGCTTGGTGAGGTGACAAGTGTTGGTGCAATCATTCGCAAACGGAAGAAACACAAAACAACTGTCAGTCTCCCCAGGTCTGGTGCACCATGCAAGATCTTACCTCATGGAGTGTCAATGATCATGAAAACAGTGAGGAATCATCCCAGAACTACACGTGAGGATCTTGTCAATGATCTCCAGGCAGCTGGGACCACAGCCACTAAGAAAACAATTGGTAACACACTACACCGACAAGGATTGAAATCCTGCAGTGCCCGCAAGGTCCCTCTGCTCAAGAAAGCACATGTCCAGGCCCGTCTGAAGTTTGCCACTGAACATCTGAATGATGCAGAGGAGGACTGGTTGAAAGTGTTGTGGTCAGATGAGAGCAAAATCGAGCTCTTTGGCAGCAACTCAACTCGCCATGTTTGGAGGAGGAGGAATGCTGCCTATGACCCCAAGAACACCATCCCAACTGTCAAACATGGTGGTGGAAACATTCTGCTTTGGGGGTGTTTTTCTGCTAAGGGGAAAGGACAACTGCACCGCATCAAAGGGACAATGGACGGGGCAATGTACCATCAAATCTTGGGTGAGAACCTTCTTCCCTCAGCTAGGGCATTGAAAATGGGTCATGGATGGGTGTTCCAGCATGACAATGACCCAAAACGCACGGCCAGAGCAACAAAGGAGTGGCTCAAGAAGAAGCACATTAAGGTGGCTTAGCCAGTCTCCATACCTTAATCTGATTGAAAATCTGTGGAGGGAGCCGAAAGTTCTAGTTGTCAAACATCAGCCACCAAACCTTAATGACTTGGAGAGGATCTGCCAAGAGGAGTGTGCCAAAATCCCTCCTGAGATGTGTGTAAACCTGGTGGCCAACTACAGGAAACGTCTGACCTCTGTGATTGCCAGCAAGGGATTTGCCACCAACTACTAAGTCATGTTTTGTGAAGGGGATCAAACACTTATGGAAATCAGTGCATAATTTGTTAGACACGCATTTCTTTTGAATTTGTTGTTGCTATTCTGTCTCTCAGTGTTACAATACACCTACCACTCGATTTTTCATTTTCTTTGTGAGTGGGCAAACATTCAATATCAGCAGGGGATCAAATACTTATTTCCTTCACTGTGTATACGTATATATATATATATATATATATATATATATATATATATATATATACAGTTGCAAGAAAAAGTATGTGAACCCCTTGGGATTACGTGGAGTTTTGCATGAATTGGGCATAAAATGTGCTCTGAACGTCCTCTAAGTCACAACAAGAGAAGAACACAGTCTGCTGAACATAATACTACACAAACATTAGATGTTGCCATGGTTTAATTGCACATAACATGTAAACATTCACAGTGCAGGGAGGAAAAAAGTATGTGAACCTTTGGACTTAATAACTGGTTGACCCTCCTTTGGCAGCAATAACCTCAACCAAACGTTTCCTGTAGTTGCAGATCAGACCTGCACAACGATCTGGACTCATTTTAGACCACTCCTCTTCACAAAACTGTTTCAGTGTAGAAATATTCTTGGGATGTCTGGTGTGAATCGCTCTCTTATGGTCATGCCACAGCATTTCAATCGGGTTGAGGTCAGGACTCTGACTGGGCCACTCCAGAAGGCGTATTCTGTGCTGTTGCAGCCATTGTTTTGTTGAATTACTTGTATGCTTTGGGTCATTGTCCTGTTGCATTACCCATCCTCTGCGGAGCTTCATTTGGCGAACAGATGGTCGTACGTTTTCCTGCAAAATGTCTTGATAAACTCTGGAATTCATTTTCCCATCAATGACAACAATCCGTCCAGGCCCTGAGGCAGCAAAGCAGCCCCAAACCATGATGCTCCCTCCGCCATGTTTTACAGTGGGGATGAGGTTTTGATGTTGGTGTGCTGTGCCTTTTTTTCTCCACACATAGTGTTGTGTGTTCTTCCCAAACAACTCAATCTTGGTTTCATCTGTGCACAGTATATTTTGCCAGTAGTGCTGTGGAACATCCAGGTGCTCTTTTGCAAACTTCAAACGTGCTGCAATATTCTTTTTGGACAGCAATGGCTTCCTCCGTGGTGTCCTCCCATGTACTCCATTCTTGTTTAATGTTTTCCTTATTGTAGATGTGTCAACAAAAATGTTAGCATGTGCCAGAGATTTCTGTAGGTCTTTAGCTGACACTCTGGGATTCTTCTTTACTTCATGCAGCATTCTGTGCTGTGCTCTTGCAGTCATTTTTACAGGACGACCACGCCTAGGGAGAGTAGCAACAGTGCTAAACTTTCTGCATTTGTAGACAGTCTGTCTTACCGTGGACACGTGAACATCAAGGCTTTTGGAGATACTTTTGTAACCCTTTCCAGCTTCATGCAAGTCAACAATTCTTGATCGTAGGTCTTCTGAGAGCTCTTTTCTGCGAGGCATGGTTCACATCAGACAGTGCTTCTTGAAACCAGTAAACCCAAAACAGGTGTGTTTTTTTAAGGGGCAGGACAGCTGTCAGCAACACATCCAATATTATCACACTGATTGGAGTCAAGGTTGGCTCACTCCCTGGCTCCAATTAGCTCTGGGAGAAGTCATTAAGCTAGGCCTCACATACTTTTTCCTCCCTGCGCTGCGAATGTTTACATGTTATGTGCAATTAAACCATGGCAACATCTAATGTT